GTCCACTTAGTATCTGCGTGGACCAATAATTAGGCTCCACCCACTTAGCTTTAATCCTATTATTAATATTAGGAAAGAATCCATAGGTTATCCTCCCCTTATCAGACTTATTCCACCGGTCTTGCTACATATCACATAAGACTTTTAACACCTCTTGCTTAATATTATTTATACCAGATGCAGTGCCGTCGTACACCAGACCACCAAATTAAAAACCGTGCGCCTATTTATAAGGGTACTATAATAAATATATTCTACCTCTAAATCTATAGGTAGGATGCCTCCAATCACCTGGAGGGCCATAGTAGAAACCGTATTATACTCTTTACTTAAAACCAATAAAACACTCCTTTGGGCCCTTTCTAATTTAACCTTATGGTACCCTTTAAGGAGGTCCCGCCATGCTAAAATACCATATAATAAACTATTTAAAAATAAACCTTTATATAAAACCAAAAGAGTCGTGAAACTGGAGCCCCATTCTTTCCTAATGCTTTGCTTCAACATACCAAACACCTTAATACACCGATCTGTGACAGACGTGACATGTAGCATAATACTCATACTGGCCCCAATATGAATATGAATACCAAGATATTTAACAAAGTTGGCAAACTTTATAACCTTATTACCAAGCCTGACTCTTAGCGGCCTTTCCTTGCTCATACTACCTTTCAATAAAATCGCCACTGTCTTATCAACAGACAGCTCTAATTTATTAATATTAACATGGTTTTAATACTAACATTGGTTTTACTATACCTATTGTATGGTTTTTACTGGGGNAACTCCTCTATTTAAGAATGTTCAACTTATGAACTTTCAGATTTACGAGCAATTTAACCATACATCTAAACTTTTAATTTTGCGTTGATTCTGAAGTTCTCTTACTGCTCATGGGGTGGCATTGAAGTTACTCTTTGGCAGAAATAATAAATTTTTAATAAATAATTAATGTTGCTTATTTCTATTATGTATCATCCATTGTAATTCATAAAGTAGCACTCAAGTCAATGACATTGGAGTAACTGCATTTTTTGCTATTGTCTACAATTTTTATAAACTTTTATGACTAGTGCTTAAAAATTGCACCCAAAACATAACAGTAAATCTAGTGGAGATAAATGCAAAAATTGTTGCTCTTTCACCATGGAAACTAAACTGGACTTTATAAAACTAAGTGCATTAGGTGAATAAACTGTGTTTGAAATACCCACTAGTAAGCAGTAGCAAGTGTGTAAATGAATTTAATACAAACATCGCTAAACCCGATACATAATATAGCCGAATATCTATCGGGCTAGTATAAGGCTAATTACTAAATGAATTACGTGACCAATTTGGCTCTAGAGGTAAGCGTTAGGTGCCATCTCTTATTAACATTAATAATTATAAATAAATTAATTAATTTAAATAATTCAGAACCTCTGGGAGAGAAAATAATTAGCCTTATACTAGCCCGATAGATATTTGGCATTCGGTTGGTATTTAGCTATATTATATATCGGGTTTAGCAATGTTTGTATATATTATGCCTTGCCGGGGCTTGCGATGGCCGGTTGATTGCCTTATAGGACGTGGGCACTGGATGTGTCCTCAGCCGGCATTGTAATGACCGTCGATGGTTATATAGTTAGCTTCTATACGCTGGAAGAGGAGATCGGACTGGAAATCTGGATAGCGTAACTGGCAACGCATCTGCATGGTAAGCAGGAGTTGTGGGTTCGAGTCCCGCTTCAGGCCAACTTTTTCTCCCAGCGGTTCTAAATTATTTAAATTAATTTATTTATAATTATTAATGTTAATAAGAGATGGCACCTAACGCTTACCTCTAGAGCCAAATTGGTCACGTAATTCATTTAGTAATTAGCCTTATACTAGCCCGATAGATATTCAGCATTCGGTTGGTATTTAGCTAATGAATTTAATGTATTCTAAATACATTAAATGATTAAACACTAACAATAAATGGTTATTCTGTGTACAAATGAACTTTTCAGCTTAGTTTTCGACTTATGACAAAAGCCCAGGAACCTAACCTATTCCTAAGTTGGGGAGCATCTGTGTAAAGACAAAAAAGGCATAATCTATTTGAATGTGTGTTTCTATCTTACAATGCCAAGACTAAGATGTTTCCTAATTTGGGAAATTCCTTGCATTACAATTATCCTACATTAGATAAATTAGTCAACAATTTTTGACAGTTTGCATAATGTAAATTATTTTAAATAATGGTGTCAATAAACAAAAATAGACAGTTTACGCCAATAATTGTTCATCAAATAAATAAAACTGTCTTTTGGCATTAAAATTCTTTAATAATGTTGAAATTAGCACTTCTTTGATAATAAAATAACCACCTTAACAATAATAAAAACAAGCACTTTCAACATTGCATTGATGTAGTCTTCAGGTTAAAACAAAATGTAATGTAATTACCATTAAGAGATTGTTTAACCAAATTACAATAGAGCATCGATTATCCAAATACCGATCAACCAAAACATCGATTAACCGAAAGTGATCCAGTTGGCAAATTCAAACTTCCGCTAGTGCTGTGGCACTGCAATATTTGGCTATGTCTTGGACTACTCCAATATTATTTTTGCTGGTGTGCGTGTTTTAGCTGGCAGCNCTTCTCACAAATACATCCGGAAGGCAAAAGACCCATTTTCGCAGTGAATTTCACTTCCAAAGAAATCCTCTTCAAGCCGAAGCTTTTATATTTACCATGAAACATTATAACAAGGTAAATACCAACTGAATGCCGAATATCTATCGGGCTAGTATAAGGCTAATTACTAAATGAATTACGTGACCAATTTGGCTCTAGAGGTAAGCGTTAGGTGCCATCTCTTATTAACATTAATAATTATAAATAAATTAATTAATTTAAATAATTCAGAACCTCTGGGAGAGAAAATAATTAGCCTTATACTAGCCCGATAGATATTTGGCATTCAGTTGGTATTTAGCTATATTATATATCGGGTTTAGCAATGTTTGTATATATTATGCCTTGCCGGGGCTTGCGATGGCCGGTTGATTGCCTTATAGGACGTGGGCACTGGATGTGTCCTCAGCCGGCATTGTAATGACCGTCGATGGTTATATAGTTAGCTTCTATACGCTGGAAGAGGAGATCGGACTGGAAATCTGGATAGCGTAACTGGCAACGCATCTGCATGGTAAGCAGGAGTTGTGGGTTCGAGTCCCGCTTCAGGCCAACTTTTTCTCCCAGCGGTTCTAAATTATTTAAATTAATTTATTTATAATTATTAATGTTAATAAGAGATGGCACCTAACGCTTACCTCTAGAGCCAAATTGGTCACGTAATTCATTTAGTAATTAGCCTTATACTAGCCCGATAGATATTCAGCATTCGGTTGGTATTTAGCTAATGAATTTAATGTATTCTAAATACATTAAATGATTAAACACTAACAATAAATGGTTATTCTGTGTACAAATGAACTTTTCAGCTTAGTTTTCGACTTATGACAAAAGCCCAGGAACCTAACCTATTCCTAAGTTGGGGAGCATCTGTGTAAAGACAAAAAAGGCATAATCTATTTGAATGTGTGTTTCTATCTTACAATGCCAAGACTAAGATGTTTCCTAATTTGGGAAATTCCTTGCATTACAATTATCCTACATTAGATAAATTAGTCAACAATTTTTGACAGTTTGCATAATGTAAATTATTTTAAATAATGGTGTCAATAAACAAAAATAGACAGTTTACGCCGGTAATTGTTCATCAAATAAATAAAACTGTCTTTTGGCATTAAAATTCTTTAATAATGTTGAAATTAGCACTTCTTTGATAATAAAATAACCACCTTAACAATAATAAAAACAAGCACTTTCAACATTGCATTGATGTAGTCTTCAGGTTAAAACAAAATGTAATGTAATTACCATTAAGAGATTGTTTAACCAAATTACAATAGAGCATCGATTATCCAAATACCGATCAACCAAAACATCGATTAACCGAAAGTGATCCAGTTGGCAAATTCAAATTTCCGCTAGTGCTGTGGCACTGCAATATTTGGCTATGTCTTGGACTACTCCAATATTATTTTTGCTGGTGTGCGTGTTTTAGCTGGCAGCTAAAACACGCACAGCACTGTATTGTATCGTTAAATTTGTATTTTTTAAATGGTTTTAGAGTACATTTCAATAAACAATCTGTTTCAATCGTGTTTTAGCTGGCAGCAGCACTGTATTGTATCGTTAAATTTGTATTTTTTAAATGGTTTTAGAGTACATTTCAATAAACAATCTGTATGTGGTGTGATATTATATCATTCAGATTTTTTTTTTTAAATCTTACATTTAATACTCGGGATAAGACATTCTACATTACTTTTTCATGTTTTAAATATTATACTAAAATTATTTATTTTCCTTGTGGCTTTACTTAGAACAAGTGTTTTAAAAGATTGTAGGCAGCCAAAGAGGGATCTTGACCCAAAATGCATTCTGCAATGACAACTCTATGTGATTAATTTTGCCACACTCTTATAGATACATTCCTGTGTGATTAGTCCCTAAATTTATCAAATTGTGTGATTTAAGTTCAATAGTCATTAGGACAAGAAGCTTCAATCACATCATGAGAACTGTTTGATCACTCTCTGTATAGTCAGGATTCAGTGCCTAACAATTACAAACTTTTCAAGTACACAAAGACATGTCTTGCATTGCGATGCTTTCACAATGACAGAGTTGCAGTCCAGCATTAATGTGGCTTCAATCATGGGTGTCAGAATTCTATGAAGACAGAATACAGAAGCCCGTTAATTGCTACAGGAGTCTCAATTTAGCTGGAGATTATGTTGAAAAATAATCAAAACTAATGTAAATATATAAGCAGCTTTAAGTCTGATAGTTATATTAAAGCCAAATGCATAATAAAATTTTTCTAATTATTGAAACAACATTGAAATAGCTATCACATTAAATTTATAAACTTAAATAAATAAAAGGATACAATTGACATCAATGCACCAAATAGCTCCAGTGTGTCCATTGAACGATCCAAGTCTTTCGCCATTAATTGAATACCATGCATTTGGAATTATATCTTTGGAACATGAAAATAATAAGTCTCCTTCTCGATTATACTTGATCTGTGTTATTGCTCTTTCATGACCATGTAACATCAAAGGCTTCTAAAATTTTAAAACATCAAACATCAATTTATTATATACTGTATATATGTATATATTATATATACATTTATATAATTTATATATATATATATATATATATATATG